CAAATTCCTCAAAAGTTCTTATTATTGACAGAAAATGTTTTCTCAGATGTCAGAATTGAGGTGATCTGGTCAGTTAGTTCTGATTAGTGCAGTTAAACTGCCCATTTCTAATCTTGCTACACGGTGAGATTTAGAAATGACAGAATCAACCTGTAATACAGATAGTGCTACAATATGTATTATAATGTCTATTCAAACTTCCTGCATTGAAAATACCTCCTGCTCTCTCGGCCCATCAGATAGATTCTGGTTCACCCTGCTGCTGACCATGCACTAAATTATTCAGTTGAAAATAAGTCCACATTAAATATGCATTGACTTGCAAGAGTAAGACACTGTAGAAACAAACTCCAGTGCTAAACATGAACAGTTTTTTATCTTCTAATTTTGATCAAGTGCTTTCAGAACCCAGATGACAGTAACATTTACAGTGTATATTGACTTTTACTCAGAAACAAAGCATAAAACTAAAATAAAAAGAGAATGAGTCAAGTATCAAGCCACACGATATAGATTTAGCAAAGTGAAAGTTATAGCTCAATGAAGACAGGGAAGTTAGGCACACAATTTCTACATATTCAAATACAAGTGTGTATTCAAGAGCAGGTGTGAGAAACACTAATCTATTTTGTCAGCAAGTGTTTATATGCCTTCAGTCAGTGTACTACAGGATTGTTCCAGTGGTTTTTCCTAAGTAATATTTTAGTGTTCTTTTTTCTTCTTTCACATCATGCCTATGTGTCCTTCAAATGCTTGGCTGTCTGAAGTACAGGGCTGCACCTCAATAGAGGATAACATGTATCAGAAGTATCATGGTGAATATAAAGGTGCTACAGACACACTCTTCATGTGTGAAGGTTGCTGACAGGACCAGACTCTGACTTTGCTGACTCTGGCCCTTCAGACCTCACATGGACCTGAGGGGGAGCAGGGGGAGGGCTCAGCAGCTTATTAAGCCAGGTTTAATGGCCTTGACCCCGAACCACAACCCCGGAAAACAGAGCCCTGGAGGAAGAAAGGTCAAAGTGTGTATACTATTAGAGGGCAGGAGAAACTCGGAGCTGGGATATTTGGCAGGCTTCCATCATTTTGTCCACTATAAAATCAGATGGAATTCTGCTAACCAGGACTTTTCCAAGTTTGTTCCCTTGAACATGAGCTTTTTTTTTAAAACTGTAACTATAAGACACAAAGATGTCCTGCTTTTCTCAAGAAATGTCTTGGAGATGAACATTGTTCTCTATTCTCTGACAGTTTATGGACCAAACGATTAAATCAGGAAAAGACTCTGCAGATTATTCACTGATGAAAAGTCGGAGCTCTGCCCTACTTTAGACTACTTGACACCAAGTTAGGTCTGTAGTTATATATTTTAGATTTAACCTCTATAACTGTTGCTGAATTTGACATTCAATAAATGTGGGTACATTTACATTTTAATAACTGTGGGACATTTTTATACATACTGTTATATCTCACAGGCTCCGCCCTCTACTGGACTCTATGGGTACTACTCCTTGACCTTACTATGCGAGCGTTCACCTACTGAGATATCTTTAAACGTAGCCGGCCCTCGGGGCGGGCCTATCTGAGTGAGCGCGCAAGCCCACCCTATATAAGGCGGCCTCGCCTCCTGACTGTCATCCTACACCCTCTTCAGCGAGCAGCTTAGACAGGGCCCCTAGTAGAGGGCTCCGCCTGTGCTTATAGGGTTACAATACGTAACCCATCGTTATATCTCACAGGCTCCGCCCTCTACTGGACTCTATGGGTACAGTGGGTGGAGTCCTGATGGATACACGCCCTGTCGTCCAACAACCCATCACACTGCCCCTGATCGGCTTTTCGGTTAGCAGCCACTGCAACGCAACCTCTCCTCCCTCGGCCATGACCGTGGAGGAGTCGGGGCCGCAGTTTACTTAAACTGCGGCCCCGACTCCTCCACGGTCATGGCCGAGGGAGGAGAGGTTGCGTTGCAGTGGCTGCTAACCGAAAAGCCGATCAGGGGCAGTGTGATNCGATACTAAGATAGTGCATGTACTTGCTTTCAAGCAGAAACACAGGGAAACAAACTTAGCCGGCCGGAGGTTTTTACGGTGTTCGGCGAAATGACGGTAACCAACGGCTCAGGACAATTTCTGTAGTCCTATATGCACCACCACTCGGTAACAACATCCGTTTTTCGACACGTTAAACTACTTCAAAATCCCAGCGGGGTCAACTGCTGATGTATTTAATGGTCGTAGAACAAACGTCAATTACCTCTTAAACTTGTGTAAACACAGAACCTTATTTCGAGCTATTTTCAAACCCTCATGGAAAAAAATTCATTGCTTTTTTTTGAAGGAGGACCGGAAGTGCAAAAATGCCTAACTTACCTTCCGGGTTTTACGACGCGTCCCGGCGCCTCTATTGCCCACTTTCTTATGTTGTAAGTAATTACTGGGAACGTATTTTCCTTCATACCTTCTTGCCGTGAAATAGGTCTTCCAAATCTATTGAAAGTGGTCTAAAAGGTCTTAAAAAGTTTAAATTTGAGTTGGGCCGACAACCTGCAGGACCATCTCAGATTTAGCGTAGAGCTGTTGAGGCATGGACCGGTGATATACAAGGGAAGATTTGGGGACGATTGGACCGTGTCGATTGGATTTACAGCCACATCGTGTTTCATGGCGAGTGGTCCGTCGCCATGGCAACGGCATTTGATGACACACCATACTACGCTTAGATGCGTTGATGGCTGCATCGTTACCAAACCTGTGAAGTTCTAGGCTGTTATGAGTATTTTCACTGAAGTTATGAGAAAACCGTGTTTCAAGGCGAGCATTGTGTTGCCATGGCAACGGCATTTGAAGAAATCTCAAAACTGTCCCGTAGATGTCTTCACCGCTGGACTGTTTGCACACTGCTATCTGAAGTCTGCTGCTCTGAGCATGTCAGTTGGAGTGATGACATCATCGTGTTCCATTACACAGGTGTTTATAGTTGAGCTAACGAGCTCTGTAGAGATCAAAGGCTTCATTGTTCTGAATGAGAGATAAACCTCTTACATGTGAACGTTTTGTGGAAGAACCGTAACAGATATCTGTGAAATTTCAAAACGTGAAGCATGTCAAGGAAGTTGAGTATCTGAAGTGTAATTTTTGTGTAGTTTCGGGTTAATAATGTGGCCTTTTTGGCAGTTTAACTAAAGGTGTGCGGCTGCTGCCGTGAGGAAATATCTGCCTGAAATTACAATGGGGTTTAATGGAGGAATGTTGAATGTTTTTGTCACTTCATGCCCTCAAAAAGCATTTTGTTTAATTATTTTGCTTAATTATTTGTAATTTTTCAAGCTACGAGATGTTTTCCTACGTTTGTCATGATAAATTATGTCTCAGGAATGTAGGGTTTGGGAATTATGGCAGTTTAAAAAAATATATGAATGCGAATTTCAAGCTGTCCTCCACTCTAGCTGTGACATCACACACTCTAGTTAATGTTAAAATGTGAAGAAAACCTCTAAAACAAGGTCTGAACAATGTTTAATATCTCTAAAAGTAATAATCAGATTTAAAAGTTGTTTTACACGAATAATGTCAGAAAGATGTGTAACATTTTAAAGTTGGAATGAGGTGTCTGAGTGAAAGTATGAATGAACAGTTAGCAGTTAAAGTCGCATGAAGATTTGTTGAAGTCTGACGATTTCCTCCATTGACTTCAATGTTAAAAATGTGATGTATTATGGGATGTATCTCTGGAATTATGAAAGTTATGAATGAGAAAAGTAGCAATGGATTCCCGACCGAGCTGAACGTTTTGATGTTTGAACGGAGTTTCTGCGATGTTCAATGCGGGAGGAGAAGAGGGCCAAAATAACCCGGCGGAATAATAATAAAAATGTTTTCCGTAGAAGAACAGTTAGTTGGAATGCTGTTAACAGCATTCCGACTAAATTATGCTGTGGAAGATAATGAAAATGGACTGAAATATACTACATTACTATGTTCTGTATATTTAATCTGAGACGATGGACACTAAAACAGCAGACCTTTCTGTCCCTATCTCTGATGTCTCTCTGGAAGATCAATTTGGTGAACAACCATGTTTGTTGTAACTAATGTTTCCGAGAGCAGCCTTGAACCGAAAACATTAGTGCTTTCACCGCCACTCGCAATTTGCAAATACCACATTTTACACTGACAAAGGAACAAGTGTACAGATAACCATCTGCACATCTCCCCAGGGCTTGTGAAATGACAACTTGAATGTCAAAAAATACCAAAGCGAGCTTTCAACCTGCAGGGACTCCTTAGAACAAGGAGAGGCAAAGGAAGAGTGGGGACAAAGAAATATGTTTTTGACATTATTATAGATGTACTATGCCATTGATAATGGAAAAGGTCACTGTCGCACAAAATATCTGTTCAGGCCCTGTGGTGTCAGAGAGAAAGAACATAGAAACAAACCAATCAAACCGAGGCTATGAAAGTATTGAAGGTTCAGATCACTGAAAGTACTAGCTTAGAGTTTTTTGGTCATTTTTAGCCGTTGCATATTACTGAAACCGCCGATAATATGATTCAGATGTTGTTAATATCTTCAACATTTGTGATTGCAACTCAGTTTCAAAAGTCTCTTTGTTACTTTACAAAGCTATATTTAAACTCCATCACAAGTACAGTGCAATCAAGGTACCCACGTCCGTAAAAAGGACCAATCTTCTTTATTTGCTTCTTTTTATGTGTCAGTGTGAAAAAAACAACTTTTTGAAACAGAGCGGAGCGAGAGAATCCAGAAGAGGAGTCTGCAGCATCCTAATGAGCCTCTCTGACCTTGACTAAGCGAATGGAGGGATGAGGAAGACACAGAAAGATGGAGGGAGGAGAGGATGGATGGAGCGATAGGATAGATGGATGAGATAAATGATAGATAGAGGAGGCTGGACTGGAAGGAGAAGGAGAGATGATGGATAGTCGGAGGGGTGTGATGAAATTGAACATGAACAGGCGTGTGTGTACCTGTTGGTCCAGTGTGTTTGAGGCGCCTGGTCCTTGCTCGAGGCGGGCAGGGCGGGAGTGTGTGGGTGTGCGTGAGGGTGTGCGTGTGCGTGTGCGTGTTGGTGTTGGTGAGAGTGTGCGTGTGAGTGTGTGTTCCCGGGTGGGTTGGAGGAACCGGAGGAGCCCTGTGAGGGAGAGTAGTCGGAGTAGGTGGCTGAGGAGCCGCTGTGGTTCAGACAGTGGAGCTTATCCACCTCCTCATCTGTAGACTCTGGACAGAGACACAGAGACAGACAGGGAAACATGTCAAATCCTTTTCACTCTGATAGCCCTCTTTCACAGAGAGTGCCCTTTTCTGAAAAAATAATCACTTCTCTGTATCTTATACACCTGGATTTGATTGATTTAATCAAATCCTTATCATAACGCATGTCAAATGAAGATATCGCTTTCATTGACAGTGATCTACGAATATGCTAGGTCAGTACTTTCTGTGATCAGCTGATTTCTTAACATAATGTGATAATCTCAGGAAAATATACAGACATGGCTAATTTCCATTTTCATTTAATAAAATATGCTCAACATCTTATTGATTTGTGTTTAAATGGGATGAACTAGACCCGATGGGTTTTTGCTAGCTCTACCCAAAGCTATTAGCTTAATCATTAGCCTGTGTTGCCTTTAAAAAGTGAAATCAGTGAAACTGGAACCCCATCAATGTGTGAAGGAGTCTTGATTAACTAATCCAGACACATTTTTATAAAAATGATACTAATTAAACCATGTGTTGAGCAAAAATGTGCAACATGTATTATTTCCAAATGAAAATATATATTAGCTATTATATATATATTTTTGTGTATATTTCATCCAAACACATTTTTCAGACTTTTCTATTTAAAAAAAGAAAGTAAACTTTTATTGGTAAATCAAAGGCAAAATAACAATATAAGGGATTTTTGTTTTTGTTCTTGTGTGTAAGTCTTAGGCCAAGAGGGCAACAGGAAAAGGGTTGTAAAGTAAACCTATGGCAGAGTTGATGAATGATCCTCACAAGGAAACCAAACAGAACACATTTTTTCACAATTGTATTCTAATGGAAATAAACAAACCCTCTATTAGGACAAAGCAATTCTCCTAAATTCCAGCTCACTATTCGGATGTTGAAACTTTTAACTTGGAGATCAAAAGCTAATGAGAGTTACAACAGCACCAGAAAGTGTATCCAGAATGATGTTTAGGCTGAATTGCATTGAATCCTGTAAATGGTATGTGACTGACGCAGAGAAATCTAATTTCTTTCTTGTCTATGGTTTCTTAACCCAGATTCCTGTAGCACTCTCATATGTGTTTGTACAATATTGAGTCCACTGCACATGGCCTGGTTAGAAAAAAATGGGTTTAACAGTTAAAATCTTTATTAACCCACACAAGTTCTATTTAATTCAAGAATGCATCATCATGTGTCAAAAACCTATTAAGATCCTGACCAACCAAACAAAAGATAGCTTCTTATTAACTTTACTACAAGATCCTTCAATAGGAATGTACAGACAAGCTGATTGAGTTTTAATCACTTCACAGAAAGCTCCCTAACAAAGGGGCACAACGGAGCGCTGAATTACACAGAGCTACAGTTTGTCACAGAGAACAGATAACGATGGGTTACGTATTGTAAGCCTAGTTATATAATATATAAGCACAGACGGAGCCCTCTACTGGACTCTATGGGACCTTGATCTTACTATGCGAGCGTTCACCTACTGAGATATCTTTAAACGTAGCCGGCCCTCGGGGCGGGCCTACCTGAGTGTGCATGCAAGCCCACCCTATATAAGGCGGCCTCGCCTCCTGACTGTCATCCTACACCCTCTTCAGCGAGCAGCTTAGACAGGGCCCCTAGTAGAGGGCTCCGCCTGTGCTTATAGGGTTACAATACGTAACCCATCGTTATATCTCACAGGCTCCGCCCTCTACTGGACTCTATGGGTACAGTGGGTGGAGTCCTGATGGATACACGCCCTGTCGTCCAACAACCCATCACACTGCCCCTGATCGGCTTTTCGGTTAGCAGCCACTGCAACGCAACCTCTCCTCCCTCGGCCATGACCGTGGAGGAGTCGGGGCCGCAGTTTACTTGGCTGATAGAGCACACTCAGACACGCTTGCATGGAAAATAGTGAGGAAGGTTCCCAGGCAGAGGAGGTGCAGTTTAGCCTTGCTGTCCCCAATATGGGGTGGAAGACTAAAGCCGCCCTGAACGAACTCCTTAAGTTCTTGGGAACAAAGGAGGTGTTTGGCCGGAGTGTCGCCCCGCTACGGTCACCCCGGATCCACAGGCAACTCGGGTGTACCGACAGAGCGGTCAGTTCGGACACTCTCTTGGCCGAAGTCAGGGCCAGCAGCAACGCTGTTTTTAATGACAGCGCCTTCAGGGAGGAGAGCTCCAGAGGCTCAAATGGTTCTGTGACGAAAGCCTAGAGCACCAACGGCAGGTCCCATTGCGGGGCGGAGGCGTGCACTACTGGGCGCTGCCTCCTGATGCCCTGCAAAAACCGCGACATAAGCGGCTGACTGAAGGCGACCTGCCGCCAAATCCCTCATGACAGGACGAAACGGCTGCTGCATACACTTTAATTGTGGAATGAGTAAGCCCCCTGTCCACCAGTATCTGTAAGTAGGACAGAATAAAGCCCATCGTGCAAGATAGGGGCTCTAGACTCCCCTTTTTACACCATCGCTGGAATCCCAACCACTTTGGCCTGTAACAGGCTGTGATGGCTCCCGATCTTGCTGCCTGGACATTCTGTCAGCCTGTCCCTCTCAGCGAGCCAAGCCTGGAGAGGTTGGCCCAGAGAGGGTAAACTGCCCCATTGCACCATTCCCGTGAGACATCGCCCCCAGACCTGAGGAACTGCCCAGGCTGGCCATCATCATCTGGTGTCCTCCCGAACCACGGCGGCCACGCACCGTCTGGGGCCAATAGATGACTGACCAGATGTTCTCGTCTCACCCTCTCCATGAGCAAGATAAGGCGCAGCGGTGGAAAGCGTAGAGCAGCTTCGGCCATGGCTCGTGTGCAAACGCCGTCCACCCCAAGGCGGGAAGACCACAGAGTACAGGGAAAAACCACTATAGTACAGTGGCTGTTTCGCCGGTTGGCGAAACAGTTCCACCTCCACTCTCCCGAACCGGTCCCACATCTCCTGGTGAAGCACCCCACTCATCTGGCAGGGGCCCGCCTCTTGACATGAGGTCGGCCCCCCTGTTCTCCAGTCCCGGGATGTGACCACAATCTCTGAGGCCATTAACCACAGGTTCTCTGCTGTGGTCAACAATGGCGACGATGCGACTCCGCCCTGCTGTTGATGTACGCCCCTGTGGTGCCGCTTACATACAACATGTGTTACTCCCCAGCACATGTTTGGCCCAGTATTACGGGTTTGAATTGTGCTGGAGGACCAACCTACTGCCCGCAGCTCTAGGAGGTTGCTGTGTTGAGTCTCCGTCAGAGCGCAGCGACCACCTATAAGGCTCTCTCTAGGCAGCCTCCCCCCCCATCCTGTCACGGATGCGACTGTGAACACCGTAATGTAGGAGGTCACTCGCGCCAGCGGAGCTCCCCACCCGAAGATGTACTGGGGACCCCAGTACCAGAGGTTGCCCACCACTGGAGGGGGGATAGTCACCAGACGTCGTTTGTTCCCTTCGGGATCTCCACGAAGGCCGGGAAAACCACCTTTGCAGGCGGCCGCATATGTAGCATACACCCCAGCGGCACCACGGAGTGAGCAGCCGCCATGAGACCCAGAGTCTGCATGATGGTCAAAGCTGTCACCGTTGCCCCCTGTCGCAGTCTGCGAACTGCTCGCAGCAGGGACGCCTGTCTGCTTTCTGACAGGGTGGCGCGTAGCCTGCCTGCATCGAGCACCATCCCTAGATACTGCACCTGCTGGTGAGGTATGGGATTGCTCTTCTTCCAATTGACCGCAAAACCCAACTTGGTTAGGTGTAGGATCAATTGGGCTGTGTGAAACATTGCCCATTCCCTGGACCTGGCCATGACTATGAGGTCGTCCAGATAAAAGAAAAACCTCATGCCATGGTCGCGAAGCGGCTGAAGTGCCGTGGCCACACATTTGCTGAACGTGTGTGGGGATAGAGAGTAGCCAAATGGCAGCCTGTTGTGCTCGTAGGCTATCCCCTGGAAGGCAAAACGCAAATACTTTCTGTGTCTTGGAACAATTTCGAAATGAAAGTAAGCGTCCTTAAGGTCGATGGTTGTAAACCAGTCGCCCGGCTGCACCATCCCCATCTGGAATTTCTTGCAGGCGATGTGCCGACTTAGGCTGCAGAGATCTAGGATGGGTCTGAATTCTCCTGTCTTCTTGGGAACCAGGAAGTACCCTACACATGGTCCTCCTGCGACACATAGTAGGCCTGAAAATGCTCCATGCAGTGCAGTAGCATCCGGCAGGCATTACAGGAGGGAGACTGCAAGCCGTCCCCGACGTGTTCAGGCCCCAGACACTCGAAACACAGGCGGTGGGGATCGGCCCCTGCGATTAGGCCGGTGCACTTAGGACAGGGTCGGTGCTCGAGGACTGGTGAGTTTTCCATTCTTTGCTCGATCTTCTTCTCTCTCTTTTGCTCTCTCAGTTGTTTATCCTGCTCACTGAAGAGAAAAGGATGACAGTCAGGAGGCAAGGCCGCCTTATATAAGGTGGGCTTGCGCGCGCACTCAGGTAGGCCCGCCCCGAGGGCCGGCTACGTTTAAAGATATCTCAGTAGGTGAACGCTCGCATAGTAAGGTCAAGGGGTAGTACGCATAGAGTCCAGTAGAGGGCGGAGCCTGTGAGATATAACAAACTGTTTCGTTCAGTCGACGAGATTAAAGCAGTCAATTATTCAAAACAAAAGCAGATTTTGATAGGGCAGGAAAATAAGCTTTGGGTGCATAATTTAAACTTTAGTGTACCACTGATGGAACTGAGGACTTCAGGGCAAAATAAGTAAAA